TTTTTTTTTTTGCTGTGCAGAGGCTCTTTAGTTTAATTAAGTCCCATTTGTCAATTTTGTTTTTGCTGCAATTGCTTTTAGCATCTTCGTCATGAGATCCTTGTCAGGGCCTATGTCCAGAATGGTATTTCCTAGGTCATCTTTCAGGGTTTTTATAGTTTTAGATTTTACATTTAAGTCTTTAATACATCTTGAATTGATTTTTGTACATGGTGGAAAGAAGGAGTCCAGTTTCAATCTTCTGCATATGGCTAGCCTATTATCCCAGCACCATTTATTGAATAGAGAATCCTTTTCCCATTGCTTTTTTGTCAACTTTGTCAAAAATCAGATGGTTGTAGCTGTGCCACATTATTTCTGGACTCTATTCTGTTCTGTTCATCCCTCTTATTCTTTAGCCAACTTGGATACTTGCTTGGCACTGAGCTTTGCTCAAGCTTTGCCATCTGCTGGGAATGCCCCTTTTCTCCATATTCCCCTGTGAAAATTCCACTTTTCCTTCTGGGTCTGCTCAAATGCCAATTCTTTTCTAAGATTTTTTTTTTTTTTATTCTTGCTGCTGGGAATAATTCTCTTTCTGTGGGTTCATAGAAAACTTTGAATACATTTTATGATAGGGATCAAATCAAATTCTATGCTTTCATTAACTGCATTCATACCCCACCAGGAATTAAGTATAAATTCCCTTTGGATAAGCTGTTTATTCTTCATCTTGGTATCTCTTACAGAATCCATCACAGAATTTATATATGGCAGATGTTCAGTAAATACTTGCTCAATGAATGAATAAATGTATTAACCACACCCATTCTTCTTCCTTATTATGTTGTACATAACAAGGAGTAGGTGGATTTGTTTGCTAGGGCGGCCATAACAAAGCACCACAAACTGGGTGGCTTACTCCAGTCTGAGCTCATCTTAACTTATTAAATGACTCTGTTCCAAATAAGGTCAGATTAGCAGAGTTAGGACTTCAAAATACCTTTTTGGGGGACACAGTTCAATCCTGAAAAGTAGAGAAAGAAGAATTCTGATACAACTCGCTCTTAGGTTCTCATCTAAGTAATAGCCAGACTTGCTTGAATTATATCTATATGTCTGGGCTTGTATTTTGAAATAATTTGTTTCCCATCTAACCATGGAAAGCAAATGTGGAAAAGTTCCATGAGTATTGCACAGGGGCATTTTAGGACACCGTGGGGCATGACCTAGCCTACATTTCTGAGGGATAAAAATGATGGAATCTCTTTTGGGAGACAAGTCCGTATTTCAGATGAGTTTCACTGTATATGTGATTTCATGATATCTATGCCAAGATCTTCCTATGTCTGGCCTCAACACACCGTGGCCACCCCCGCCGCCCTTTGCAGTCTTAGGGGCAATAAGAAGCAGGGCCCAATGAAAAGAGACTAGGGTTGGAATAATCATAACAGCTCTGAAAATTCATTGAATTCCTACTATTCGCCAGGCATTTGGCTAAGTGTTTAACATCAGTGATCTCATTTAATCTAATCCTTAGCAACACCATGTGATGGGAACTGTTATTATCCTAATGCATATATATTCTGCATATATATTCCAATGCCTATATGTATATATATGTAATGTGTATAAATGTATAATGTGTATGTGTGTATATATATGTACACACATATATATGTACATAAGCATCAGGGTCTGAACAAGGATCTTTTCTTTCATATAATCTTAATTTTTCTGCTTATCAGTGGTTTTAATTTTGCTTGTATGGAGGTGTTTCATTCAGAGATAATAGCAGTAATTTCTTGATAGTAATGATGTAAATGTTGCAATGCCCTTTCCCATCCCTGCTTTTTTTCTATAGGAAAAGGGTGAAAAGCAAGTCCTGGAAGAATCTGCGTTTGAAGAAATGGAAAGAGATTTTCAGGGAGTTCTTAATGAACTTTCAGGAGACAAAAGTCTGGAAAAATTTCGGATTGAATATGAGAGGCTTCATGCTGTCATGAAAAAGTCTTATGACAATGAAAAGCGTCTGATGGCCAAATGCAGAGAGCTAAATGCAGAGATTGTAGTGAATTCCGCGAAGGTCGTCACTGCCCTTAAGCTCTCTCAGGACGATCAGACCACCATTGCATCCCTAAAGAAGGTCAGTGATCTTCTAGAAATGGAATGAACCTGAATTTAAAACATCATTCTCTCATTACATTGGCACCTCTAGGCTGGTAGTAAATGAGTTATTAGGTAAAAATTTACATGATTTTATATTCATTAAGCCTAAGGAATAATGTTCATTTTCAAAGAAAATGATTTTTTAGCCTGGGTGAATCACATCATGCAGAAAATAATGGAGAATCTTACTGGCTTGGTTTCTGGGAAAAGATTTAGAGATAAGTAAATGCAATATTTGGAATCTCAATATGTCTTATTTGATGCATGATGAGTAATTTAATACCTCATGATGAGAGTTTAACTGTTAAAGATATTTTCATATTTCTGCTTTTTCTGCTGTTTTAGTAAAGATTGCCTTGAGAATTCCCAGGTAGTAATTTTCATGACCTTTCTTCCTAGCACCCCTTTTCTTTCCTCTCAATCCTCCCAGTTCCTCATAATAGAAGAACAGAGATTCAGTCTGGGGATACTGAGGATGTATTGCCTTGTTTTACACTAGATTTTTTTCATCCTTAAATGTGTTGCATTATTTTGAAGGTAAAATATAAACGTTCCTTGTTGACTCATGGTGATAAGAGGTTGAAACATAATTAAAACCCTAAATATGAGAAACAATGTATAAAATTTTTAGACAGTTGCCTTGATATCATGCAATTAGATGCCACCCAGTTCAAATGAATTTCCAAGTCCAGTACTAAATATGGATTATCAATTATCTTAGAAACTATTCACTTTTAAGTGCTATTTTAAAATTTATTGTCATGTTAGCCTCCTAACTGGTCTCCTTGCCTGCAGAAGACATGTCCTTCTTTATTCCATCCTTGCTGAAAAACCAATATAAGAAGGCTTTAAGTCGTTTTATAATGGAAAAAAATTTTTTCATTGCAAATTTAAAAACTGATGATGGGCGGGGAGTGGTGGCTCATGCCTGTAATCCCAGCACTTTGGGAGGCCGAGGTAGATGGATCACTTGAGGTCAGGAGACCAGCCTGGACAACATGGTGAAACCCCATCTCTTCCAAAAATACAAAAATTAGCTGGGTGTGGTGGCATGTGCCTGTAGTCCCAGCTAGTTGGGAGGCTGAGGCAGGAGAATCACTTGAACCAGGAGGTGGAGGTTGCAGTGAGCCGAGATTGTGCCACTGCACTCCAGCCTTGGCAACAGAGCAAGACTCTGTCTCAAAAAACAAAACAAAACAAAAACCCCAAAACAAACAAAATCTGGAAATGGAAGTCATGAATGGATTAAAATCTAATTAGGAAAGTTGATTTGGATAAAACTTTTGTAATCTTTTTTTAATGTAAATATCTTTCATTTGTGTTGCTAAACATAGCACATATGGTTGCTACATAATAAATATTCCACTAACCGACGTTTTGCTTTGAATCACTGAATTATTTGCTATAGTTACCCAAGGTAATCTGTCTAATGTAATAGTAACCATGAATTTGTTACATTAAATACTCTCTTTCACCCATTTTATTCCTTGTCAATATACAAGTGGAATATTTTAACCTAAAGCTTATAGGTTCTTATCTATTTAAAGGACCCACATTCTACTTGACAGAATTTTGCAAGAAAGTTAATTGGTAGCCTAAAACTCAAAGCTGTTGTATATTAGTTGGTCATCACATTGCATTAAAGAAATACCTGAGACTGGGTAATTTCTAAAGAAAAGAGGCTTACTTGGCTAATGGTTCTGCAGGCTGTTCAGGAAGCATAACACTGGCATCTGCTCAGCTTCTTGGGACGCCTCAGGAAACTTAACAATCATGGCAGAAGGCAAAGTGGAGCAGATGCTTCACATGGGCCAGAGCAGGAGCAAGAGAGGGAGAGGGGAGGTGTCACACACTTTTTTTTTTAAACTTTTAAGTGCAGGGGTACATGTGCAGGTTTGTTACATAGGCAAACGTGTAGCATGGGGGTTTGTTGTACAGATTATTTAATCACCAGGTATTAAGCCTAGTATCCATTAGTTATTGTTTCCTTATCCTCTCCCTCCTCCTACCCTTCACCCTCTGAAAGGCCCCAGTGTGTTATTCCCCTCTAGGTGTCCATGTGTTTTTATCATTTAGCTCTCATTTATAAGTGAGAACATGTGGTATTTGGTTGTCATTTCTCGTGTTAGTTTGCTAAGGATAATGGACTCTAGCTCCATCCATGTCCTTGCAAAGGACATGATCTTGTACTTTTTTATGGCTGCATAGTATTTCATGGTATACATGTACCACATTTTCTTTATCCAGTCTATCATTGATGAGCATTTGGGTTGATTCCATGTCTTCGCTATTGTCAATAGCACTGTGATGAACATATGTGTGCATCACACACTTTTAAATGACCAGATCTCGTGAGAACTCACTCACCATCACAAGGACAGTGCCAAGAGGATGGTGCTAAACCATTCATGAGAAATCCACCCCCATGATTCAATCACCTCCCACCAGGCCCCACCTCCAACATTGGGGATTACATTTCAATATGAGATTTGGGCAGGGACATACATCCAAATTATGTCATGTTGCAAAATTTACTGTTCATTGCTCCTTTACTGGAACTGCTGTAATTCACTTTTAAGTATTTATGTCAATATTACACATTGCAGTTTATAATAGTAAGGAAGCCAAACCTGCATGGGTCATTGCCTCCATTCCCTGTTATGGGTTTTTTCCCATATATAAGCATTTGATGAGAAGGCTTGGGCTTGAGTTTCTGAAAAATGGGAATTACCAAGGTTGTTTGGTACAATTAGGTAACAGTAAAGAACAGCATTGTGTGGGTTGTTCTAAAGCTCACATTGCCACTAGGAGCTCACTTGGGACCAGATGATAAAATGTATTTTTTATTTACAAATCTATCGAGAGGTTTAATTCAGTCTGTCAGTTTAGGACTTGGATCTATGATCATTCCTCATGTGATAAAATTTATTGTTTTTCCTTTTAATATCTGGACTTGGAAAGCACATAAACTTTCACTTCTAATTTTGCAAACCTTGCAGTAAGTGAGCCTTGTAGCCACACTTAGCTACACAAGAAAAAATACCCTCTGCCAGTCCCTACTTTATTTTATTTTTATTTATTTATTTTTTTTGAGATAGGGTCTTGCCCTGTCATCCAGGCTGGAGTGCAGTGGCATGATTGCAGCTCACTGCAGCTTCAAATTCCTGGGCTCAAGAGGTCTTCTAGCCTTTGCCTCCCTAGTAGCTGGGACTACAGGCCCGTACTACCATGTCCAGTCCAGTCCTCCTCTTTCAATGTGCTATTCACTATTGACTAGCTCATGTTAAACAATTTAGTCAATGCACATTTATACAACTACACTGTGGTTATGGTGTTATTCTGTTTGCTAGTTTATCTTGCATCTAGAACCCAGTTTGGTCTTTCTCACTGATATCCTATGGCCCATCTAGGAAATTGAAAAGGCCTGGAAGATGGTGGACTCAGCCTATGACAAAGAGCAGAAGGCCAAGGAGACGATTCTTGCTCTGAAAGAGGAAATAGTGAACCTGACCAAACTAGTCGAGCAAGGGTCTGGACTGTCAATGGATCAGGATAGCAAGTAGGTCATAGCCTTGTTGATGTATGTTGAACTTGCTTTTGCAGAGGCCTCCTTCAATAGACAGCCTGGGGCTTGCCAGTGTCTTCTTGAACATTCTCTGTGATACAAAACTCTTCTTTATTGGGTTCTCAGAGATTGTTTTCTGTCTGTTGCATTTTAAGTAATGCTCTTTACTCCACACCTAAGAACTTCTAATTCGTGGTTATCTTAAACTTCTGACTCCATAGGAATTCAGTAGTATAGTTTCAAAATGAGTAAGATGTTAGGTTTATTTATTTATTTATTTATTTATTTATTTATTTATTTATTTATTGAGATGGAGTCTTGCTCTGTCGCCCAAACTGGAGTGCAGTGGCTGGATCTCAGCTCACTGCAAGCTCTGCCTTTCGGGTTCACGCCATTCTGCTGCCTCAGCCTCCCAAGTAGCTGGGACTACAGATGCCTGCCACCTCACCCGGCTAGTTTTTTGTATTTTTTAGTAGAGACGGGGTTTCACCGTGTTAGCCAGGATGGTCTCGATCTCCCGACCTTGTGATCCGCCCGTCTCAGCCTCCGAAAGTGCTGGGATTACAGGCTTGAGCCACTGTGCCCGGCTGGTTTATTTATTTCTCTCCAATTTGTGTAGAATATAAATGACTGATTTTCTGCCTAGAGTCCCAGCTTCTCCCACCTACTCCCCATGATCAATCTCATCACCATCCCTCCCACCTTCAGATTCTAGGCCAGAAAACAGAGCTGCTCTTCCCTCCTGCTGCTCCCCTATCTCTTAAAGCCACTGTCTTGTTGACTTGGTCTTCTAAGCACGGCCTTTCACTCCTTCTGGTCACCAGTGCTACTGCCTTGGTTCAGGCCTCCTATTCTCTGCCAGATTTGGCAGTAGCCTCCTAACTGGTCTCCCTGACTGCAGAAGACATGTCCTTCTTTATTCCATCATTGCTACCAAATTTAGGCTCCTGAAACACATGTGCACCTATCCCCAGCATAAACACTTTCAATAGCTACCCATACCCAAAGGATAAAGCCCAGACTCTTGAATGTGTCATCCAGAGCCCTTTGAGAACCTGCCCCAGTCAGCCTCTCTAGCCTCGTGCCAGCCCATCAAGTTGCTCACACCTCCATGCCTTTGTACATGCTGCTTTCCATGCTCAGAATGCCTTTTCTTCCATTCTCCCTATGGTCACCTTTTATGCCTCCTTTAAGACCCATCTCAAACAGTCTTAACTTCATCACCATCAGCATCACTCTTCCAACATCCTCTCCACATCCAAACTCCAACGACCACACAGAAAGTCACTATGTTTTCTATTTCCATAAGACCCAACATTTACCTCCAGTATGGCACTGATCAGATTGTATTGAAAATTATTTGTTGATGTGCTTCTCTACCCACTAGGCTATGAACTCCCTGAAGGAAGACACCTTTATATCCCCTCCAGGAGCCCAGCACTGTATGGGGCATGCAAAATATGGCATCAATGAATGAATCAGGAATGAACATACACTTCCTTGGGCAGCCAAGGAAATTAACCAGATCTGATGTTGCTGTTTCAGTTTCTTATGCTTTTTTGATGTGTTGATCCAACATTGACAGATAGTTCTAAGTACAGGTGTTGGGAGAGGGAATAGGAAATAAAAACAGAAAATATGATGCCTGTAGTGTGGGCTTTATCTTCTTGTTAAGGAAGTCAAGCATATTCAGAGCAACTACTGAAGAGGAATGCGAGGGAACTGATTCCGATACGAGGCATTTTAAACAAGCATTGGAAGAGGGTGAGGAGGAGAACTGAAGAAACAATCCAGCCCATAATTTTATCTTTAACAGTGTGCCCAGGCGTAACTGTCTGTCTTCATAGTAACCTTAGAATTTGAGGTTTTATTTCTGGAGTAGAATTTGAGTGCAGATTTAAAGTTTCCTTATTAAACATTTGTTACATCAGAGGTGTTGGTAAATACACTTTGTCAAATTACTGTGTTTTGAGCAGTCGTTTGATGACTGTCAGCTGCAAGAGTCTGCAGTGCAAGTTCTCCTCTGCCTTCTCAGCTCCAAGAACTGCCTTGCTCTACATTCATTCTGCTGCAGAGGTCGTATCAGACACTGAGCTTCACTTGCAAAGTGCTAATTCTGCAGGAAGTCATGCCAAATCATATGGAATGGCTTTTGAAATTTGGAGGTAACTGGTTTACAATTCAAATCAATGAATATTATCACATAACCTCCAAAAATGGGCATCATGAATGATTTTCCCAATTTTGTTCTTTGTAACATTTTATCCAGGCTGCATTCATTTGGGAGAAACTAATCTCTTTGGGTAAATGGATAGAAAACTAGCAAAGCATATTATTTGGTTCTGTTTATGTTTTATTCTAGAGTTTATAGCTGTGATCATAGCCCTCCAGTGGATATATTAAACAAATAATTTCCTAAATTGACATCTGCTTAGGATTAATTACCAGAGTTCACAATAGCAACATAGCCTTATTGCAACAAATTCAAGTAATATAGAGGTGTGGAAAGTATCAACCTCCACAACCTTCCACCCTAAATTTTTCAGAGATAATCAGTGATATGTTTTTCTGGGCTTCTGTAAAAATGTCTATAAAACACACACACACACACAAACACACACACACACACACGCACACTCTCTCATGCACGAATAGACATTGTATTTTCTTAAAGATAAAAAAATAAATTATACTATGCATGTTATCTTGAGTACTTCTTTCCAGTTAACATCTCACAATCTGATCCCATATCATGGCATAAAGATCTTTCTCTTTAATGCCTGAGTAGTGTTAATCATTGACCTGACATCTTTCCCATGAAAATGAGCTCAGAGAATGATATGAAGGACCCCTGAGAGGATGGCCATTTAGTCTGACTCCTGTGTTCTTCCTTTTTAGCATCCGAGATTTACTGAAGTTCAAAGAAGAAGTGACAAAAGAGAGAGACCAGCTCTTATCAGAAGTGGTAAAATTACGAGAATCCCTAGCTCAGACCACTGAACAGCAGCAGGAGACAGAGCGATCCAAAGAGGAGGCTGAACACACCATCAGTCAGGTCCGCCATGGAGGGCAAGAAGAAGGAAGATTTCCTTCCAGGGGATGTTTGTCCTTCCACGGTCTCTATTCCCTTCTTGTTCCTTTCTCAAATTTACCCCCTTGTGCCCAAGTGAAGCATCCTCAGTTCTGCTTATCTCTTTAGTTTGTTCTCTGGAGAGGAGCTTTACTTGAATTGAGCGACTTGATTTGTTCTTTCTCTGCATGCTCTGTCTGAGAAGTCACTGAGGCAGGCACTCCCTACTTACAATTCTGGCTCAAAAAGATGATGCCCATGGAGGCCAGGGGGCCCAGCACCTGGGGATGGTGGGAGTTGTTTCTTTGGCTCTTTCTTTCTTTCTTTCTTTCTTTCTTTCTTTCTTTCTTTCTTTCTTTCTTTCTTTCTTTCTTTCTTTCTTTCTTTCTTTATTTTTTATTAGAAAGCCATTTAGTGGACTCCTTCTGAACACTTGTATATGAAGCCCAAAGTCAAATAGATCATACACAATGTGCAGTCCCCAAAAGAAAAACGTGAGACTTCTTTGAACATGAGATAAGAAAAAGGCTTTTCATAGAATTTGGACATCAGGATAAACGTATAGTGCTCTCTTTAGCAATATCCAGGGTCATGTAAAACACAATTTTATAGTTAGGGTAGCTAGTCACATTTTATTTAGTCCCTATTGATAGAGAATCGGATGAATTCTTTCCATGTTTAATGCCCCTAGAACTCTGAGCTTCCATATGTATTTGATTTTGTACCATACTTTGTGGATTTGTTGCCCACCATCAGAGTAGTCATTTGGTTTCAAGGCCCTGAGAAACAGTATAGAATATTCCTGAAAAGTTTGAACACTGGGGCTCAAGGATGTCTGCCCTATAGGGGAAATGCTACTGCAAAGTGACTGCCCTGACAATCACAGACCTGAGAGAGCGGGGTGGGGCTTGGCTGGCTGAGACCTGCCATGGTCAGGGCTCATCTCTTTCTCTCTTGTCCTTCCCGCACCCTCTAGTTCCAACAAGAAATCCAGCAACGTCAGAACGAAGCTTCCCGGGAGTTCCGGAAGAAGGAAAAACTAGAGAAAGAGCTCAAGCAGATTCAGACAGACATGGACAGCAGGCAGACAGAAATAAAAGCCCTGCAGCAGTATGTGCAGAAGAGCAAGGAGGAGCTTCAGAAGCTAGAGCAGCAGCTGAAGGAGCAGAAGGTGAGTTGGGTGTGGGCCTTCGCTAAAAAGCAAGAAAAACCCAGAATGGCACCTTTGTTCACACCCATTTGTGCATTTTGAATTCTCTTGGAAAGCAGCAAATTCCCTTCACTACTCGTGGTGATGATGTAAAACTTAGCATTGCAATTTGGTCTTTGAATGGCTCTTATGAGGTAGTTATGCCCCCCTTTTTAAATTTTCCAGCTCTAACAGGTTAATAAGTTTCTTTTTAACCTTTTATTGATCTATACTACACATATAGAAAAGAGTATATGTCACAAGTCAGCTTGATGAATTTTAACCACTCAACCGCATCTTGGTCACCTGCTCCCAGCCGGAGATACAGAACATTACCAGCACCCCCAGAAGCCCTTTTGTGCTCCCTCTTAGTCATTCTCCCCCTAAAGTACCACCGCTATCCTGAATTCTAAGCAGAGTTTGGTTTTGCCTGTTTTCATACTTTATAGAAATAAAATATTACAGGATATATTCTTTGTGTCTAACTTCTGCTATATTCTGTTTGTGAGATTCATTCATGTTGTTGCCATGTAGTTATAGACTTGTGATGCCCAATATGGTAATCCTTAGCAACAAGTGGCTATTTAAATTCAACTTTATTAAAATGAAATGAAATTAAAAATTCATTTCCTTGGTTATGCCAGCATAATTTCAAGTACTCAGTAGCCACAGGTGGCTAGTCGATGCCATATTAGCACAGACAGAGAATATTTACATCACTGCAGAAAGCTCTACTGGACAGAGCTCAGTAGACCATAAGCTCTCATTTCTGTGCAGTATTCCATTGGGTGAGTATAATAATTTATTTTTAACAGTTTTATTTTTATTTATTTATTTTTATTTTTATTATTATTTTCTTTTGATATGGAGTCTCTTTGTCGCCCAGGCTGGAGTATAGTGGCATGATCTCAGCTCACTGTAACCTCCAGCTCCTGGGTTGAAGCGATTCTCCTGCCTCAGTCTCCCGAGTAGCTGGAGTCCGCCATCATGCCTGGCTAATTTTTATATCTTTAGTAGAGACAGGGTGTCACCATGTTGGCCAGGCTGGTCTCAAGCTCCTGACGTCAAGTAATCCAACTGTCTCAGCCTCCCAAGGTGCTGGAATTACAGGCATGAGCCGCCGCGCCCAGCCAATAGGTTTATTTTTAAGTTATTTTCAAGTTTAGCAAACTATGGTCAGTCTTTATTTATTTTTACTATGGTACTGTTTTTAACACTTTCTCTATTATAGCAGTTTAAGGTGGCACAAGTATTGGTAATTGTATTATGTTTTCTCTCATTTTTTAAAGAAGCAATTCATATAATTGAAAAGTCTTTTCTTAAATATGTTTTTCCTCAGGAAGCTTGTTTCCAAAGAATTGTCAAGCCATATAGCAGTTTTATACTCAAAAATAGATATAAGTATACCTTTTTTTGTCCATTGCTCTATTAATTTTATATAAAGCCAGAAGTCAAATAGATAATTCACAATGTGCTGCCTCCAGCAGAAAAACATGAGACTTCTTTGAGCATGAAACATAGGAGAGAGGCTTTTGGACATCAGGATAAAAACTATCCTCCTATGAAACACAATTTCATTTTTAGCATAGCCGGTTACATTTTATTTAGTCCCTATTGATGGAGAATTGGTTGGATTCTTTTCATGCTTAATTTTTGTGTGCATGGGAGTTATATTTTGCAGACATTACTTAAGCTGTCTTTCTATTTTTATCCTGCAATTCATTTGCTATCCCTCCACCTCCTCAATATTCCCCCAATAGAAATGAGCCCCCAAGATATAATCTTTTGTTTTTATAAAACCATATCTGCTCAGGATAGTCAAGGCGGAGAAGAGGAAAATCTGGCTGACACTGAACTCAAGCAGATATAAATCACTCCGCTGCTGTTCCATCGTTTTGAGTTAAGTTAGATTAAAAGAAAATTGTCTCTGTGTTGGTGTTAGTGAACAGTTCTGTTGATGAAAATGTTGCAGGCATGTTAATGCAGGATTTGCTTCTGAAGATGTAGCTTCCAAGCCCCACAGCTTATAAAATCCGTTTGAATCTCTAGCTCATTTGCAATGATTATAGCAATTGTTGCGTATGCAAAGCCTGCCAAATGGCAAACAGGCATTAAAATATTTATCCACCACCTGTGAACAAGACTTCCCAAGGCTCTCAGAAAAAAAAAATTATGCTCACTGTGTTATTCATTAGAAGGCATCATTTTCCTCAACCGTTTAACATTCATCATATTTGAGTGCGTTAGTGCTTTCATTGGGGATAAAGAACAATTTCTACAAAGACAAAAACTCAGGGTTGCTGTTATCTTCCCAGGAGGTTTGTGGGCCCCCCTGTGTGTATATACAAGTATTGTAATCAGATTAAAAAGCATTAACCAGCTCATTCCATCCCTTTCAGATATTGAATGAGAGAGCTGCAAAGGAACTCGAGCAATTTCAGATGAGAAATGCTAAACTTCAGCAAGAGAATGAGCAGCACAGTTTGGTTTGTGAGCAGCTATCCCAAGAAAACCAACAGAAGGCGTTGGAGCTCAAAGTAAACACCAAGTGACATGTCTGTTCCCTAGCTCTTCCTTCCTCATTCCCTATTAACACAGGTTTGCCTTGGCAATTGGAGCCCTCGCTTGGATAACCTGTGTTGGCTCTACTGGGTGCCTTGACACATCAGAGGCAGGTGCAAGCCTATAGTGATTGCTTTATGCCCAGAAGCAGAGTTTGATGGCTTCCATTCTTATAAAATTGCAAACCTGATTATTGATCATATCGTTATGCAAATGGTTTCCAAAGTGAGCTCAGATGTCTATCTCTGTAACCAGCCTTGCAAGAAACCAGTTGCTCAAAGCTAGAAATTCATTCATACATGTGAACGGCAAAAAAATTCAGATTATAGTTTACTACTTGTTGGAGAAGGTGGGATGGAATTGTTGGGGGAGAGACTGATACTACCTAGTATTTACTTACAGGATTGTGGAATCATGATTTTCACTTCTGTCCAAGGTATACTTTGAGACAGATTTCCTGTTCTTCTCCTTGCTATCATTGAAGAGTGCTTGCAAATTAAGTTTAGATAACAATTTATACTCTAATATATATTGTATACCTACCTGCTTAACAGAGCAGCTTTATGTTTGTCACTTTAATTCTGAAAAAATCCATATTCCCTTCTCTGGTTATGTTAGAATACTGGATGTAAAAAGAGTAGTCTAGCAAGAACCAACCCAAATGTCCATCAGTGAGATACTGGATTAAGAAAATGTGGCACATATACACCATGGAATACTATGCAGCCATAAAAAGGATGAGTTCATGTCCTTTGTAGCGACATGGATGAAGCTGGAAACCTTCATTCTTAGCAAACTATCACAAGGACAGAAAATAAAACACTACATGTTCTCACTCATAGATGGGAATTGAACAATGAGAACACTTGGACACAGGAAGGGGAACATCACACACCAGGGCCTGTCGTGGGGTGGGGAGAGGGGGAAGGAATAGCATTAGGAGATATACCTAATGTAAATGACGAGTTAATGGGTGCAGCACATCAACATGGCACATGTATACAAACGTAACAAACCTGCATGTTGTGCACATGTACCCGATAACTTAAAGTGTATGTGTGTGTATATATATATATGAATAATACATAGATTTGAGCAGAGAACCATAACATTTTTGTATCACAATCTCTTTTGAGAATCTGATGGTAATACACACATGCACACACTTATTTGCATATCTTACATCTTGTGTTGCATGCATCCCAAAAATAGGAGAGGTTTCCAGGATTTTTCTGAAGTCTTAACTGTGGGGTCTGGATTAATAACCACTGAATTAGAACATCTTAGAACTGGAGGAGGCCTTAACATCAACTAATTTGAACCCTATAGGGTCTGAGGGTCTGACGCTGAAAAACTTTTAAAACAGCCCAGAATGGGTAGACTTGAAACCATTCTTTATGAGAATGCAATAAGTTAAAGCAGAGATGAGATGACTACTTAAGTCAAAATAATATATTAGCCCCTAAGGTAAAATTAAACGAAAAAGACTCATGCCATTAATTCTTTCCCTTAGTAGCATGAATGGGGCATTTTGAAAGATGGACTATTTCTGTTATTAGATCATGAGCCTGATGGGATTCGGCCTCTAGCAATAATCTGAGGATAACATGAACAGCTAATTTTAGTCTCTTCATTGTTATGAGCAGAGATAATTGCTAACCTTTGTTTGCAAAAGAATCCCAGCTGCTCTTCTAGTCACTTCTAATGGAAAAATTTTTAAAAAGTGAATTTAATTAAAATTTCCAAAATCTGGAAAGCTTGAAGTCTGTAGGCAAAAATCAGGTGCTTTTCTTTGCTGGGATTATTTTTGGGGGACTGTTTGCCATTTTATAGACTGCCTATTCATACTATGAAATATCTGGTCCACTTATCCATATGTATACCTACAGACTAACATACTTTGAGGAAGGAGGACCCCTTCTCTAGTGTATATAATTGACCTACAATGGCCCAGTGAGTTCAAAAGAGTGTTTGAATATTTTATAGCATGTTAATAACCTTCTGAGAGAAGTCACTTCATAAGTCCATGAAAATTGCTAATTAAATGCTATATACAAAATTCACATATTTTTGATACATATAACTTAGCATTCTTATCTTATTTGATTCTACAATTAGTTGGTGTATTAGTTCATTTTCATGCTGCTGATACAGACATACCCAAGACAGGGCAATTTACAAAAGAAAGAGATTTAATTAGACTTACAGTTCCACTTGACTGGGGAGGCCTCACAATCATGGTGGAAGGCAAGGAGGAACAAATCACATCTTATGTGGATGGCAGCAGGCAAAGGGAGAGAACTTGCGTAGGGGAACTCCTCTTTTTAAAACCATCAGATCTTGTGAGACTTAGTCTGTATCATGAGCATAGCATGGGAAAGACCTGCCCCCATGATTCAATTACCTCCCATTAGGCTCCTCCCACAACACGTGGGAATTCAAGATGAGATTTGGGTGGGGACACAGCAAAACCATTTCAGATGGTGACTTGAAACAAAATTTTTCAATCTTTTTATTATTTTTAGTTTATAAAAATATAAAACATAACCACATATTTTATTCAGTGAACAGAGTTTTAAAATTTCTCTCAAAACCAAATTGTGTATGCTTGATTTAATCTCACAGAACAACTTTACATTGCCATGGGAAGAATTTCCTTTTATTGGTTCTGAGTTTACCATCATCCAGTTCCTGGCTCTTCGTTTACAAAGTGTCTCATTAATTCTTTCTCACTAATTACAGGCCAAAGAGGAAGAAGTCCATCAAATGCGCCTTGACATAGGGAAGCTCAACAAAATCAGAGAACAAATCCATAAGAAACTGCACCACATTGAAGATCAAAAGGCAGAAGTCGAACAGCACAAAGAAACCCTAAAAAATCAGATCGTGGGATTAGAGAGAGGTAAACCATTTTGTGCTTTCATTCATTTAGAAACATTTTATTGGTGACTGATGTTATCTTGTAACCCATGTTTACAAACACAACCCATGCCAAATGAAATCAGTAAAACAACACTTACACTGGTAAACAGTCAATATGGGGTGGGTGGGGGGCATCATTTTGAACACCTTAAACTCTTACCTTATACAGTTCTTCCACAGGTTCCATTGGCAAAAATGAAAATCCAGCCTGAAGTATTGCTCAGTATTTGTCCATGGAATAAATAGCATCTAAACTTTTATGTCTGAGGTTCACATGACCTGCTTTAGTTCTTCTTTTCCACAGAAGATAGTGGATACATTAGAATGAATGTCCTTCATTAGCAGTATCTGGGACAATATTGCAGTAAGAATCAGTGGAACAAAAATGAATGGCTTCTAACATCTTTTCTCTGTCAGTACTTTGCCATGTGGTGAACCCCTGTCTTACTCAGTTATAACCCACCTGTGAAGGGAAAATCTAAGTGTCACAGAGAGGTACAGAGAAGTCAGTAGGGACTCAAACCCTGGAGTCAGAGCTGCCTGGGTTTAGATCCCATCTCCCCACACCTGGTGGTTGGGGTGAAATAAGTGAACACAGAGCACTTGTGGAACTGAAGTGTGTGAGGCAGGAACATCTGTGTCCCGTTGACTTTACCCAGGTGGCTGTCAGTTGTCAATCACTGAATGAGACAACATACGTAAAAGCACAAAAGCATATATTCCTCACTAAAAGTTAGGTACAATCTAAATCTCTGGATAGAATTACTAGAAATATTTGTCACTAGTGAGACTCTGTATTAAAAAAAATTAAGGCAGGGCGCGGTGTCTCATGCCTGTAATCTTAGCATTTTGGGAGGCTGAGGTGGGTGGATCACCTGAGATCAGGAGTTCAAGATCAGCCTGGCCAACATGGTAAAACCCTGTCTCTACTAAAAATACAAAAATTAGCTGGGCATGGTAGTGGGTGCCTGTAATCCCAGCTACTCAGGAGGCTGAGACAGGAGAATTGCTTGAACCTGGGAGGTGGAGGTTGCAGTGAGCTGAGATTGTGCCACTGCACTCTAGCCTGGGTGACAGAGTGAGACTCTGTTTCAAAAAAAAAAAAAAATTGTCACTTAGGTCTTGGTGGATATTTTTCCTTCTAAGACATCAAGAAATAATGTTTTATTGAGATGCAGTTGCAGCCTATCTCAACAGTTTCTCTGTTCATCCATTCAATAAATCAAACCCTAACTGTGGGCAGGCATTATTCTAGGTGCTGGGTGCATGGAGGACTCTGCCCTCAGGATACCTACAGTCTAGTGTGAGTTTTCAATCTAATACTTTCTGTGACAGATATGAAGAAAAATGGAACTATAAGAGCATTTTTTTGGTAACTGGCTATCAAAACACTTCCATATTTAAACTTCTATTTGCTTGCAATAGTTCTAAGCTTTCGAAAAAGAAGTTTTACCCATTTGGCGTTAAGCCCAACTCTTCATCTTTAAATCATGTATACAAAGTTACCATTCTCTCTCTTTTGACTACTTTATAGGTGTCATCAACATTGTTATTTCTTCTTAGGGATCATGTTCTTTTGGTGTGTTCAATAAAAAAGTGGCACTGGGCATAACGGTTAGGAGCATGGGGCTCCTTCCTACATGTTAGGATTTTCTACCACAGAAACCAAGAAATAAACTGAAAAACTTCCAGAACTAATAAAAGAGGTTAATAGAGTTCAGTAGAGTGGGAAGTTATAAAATAAATATGTAGATATCAATAGCTTTTTTTCATACCAAAAAAAATCAGTTAGAGTATATGATGGAAAAAATTCTCTTCACAATAGCAACTAAAGTAATAAAATATCTGTGAATAAAGTTACCGAGATATCTGCAAGATCTATATATTTAAGAAACCACAAAATTCTGTTGAGGGGTGTAAAGGAAGACTTGAAAGATGGAGAGATATATCAAGTTCCTGGATGAGAAAACTCAATAGGATAAAAATATAAATCTGTCCAAGTTAATTTATATATTTAATGTTTCCAAAAATATTTCAGTGAGTTGGGGCCTGGCACAGTGGCTTACACCTATAATCCCAGCACTTTGGGAGGCTGAGACAGAAGGATCGCTTAAGGCTAGGGGTTCAAGGCCAGTCCAGGCAACATATTGAGGTACTCTCTCTTCAAAAAAAAAAAAAAACAATTGCCAGGTGTGGTAGCATGCTCCTGTGCACCTGTAGTGGCACATGCCTATAGTTCTAGCTACTTGGGAAGCTGAAGCAGGAGGATCACTTGAGTCCAGGAGGTCAATGTTGCAGTGAGCTATGATCACACATACTGCACTCCAGCCTGGGTAAGAGAGTGAGTCTCTTTAAAATTCAGTGAGTTATGTTGTATGGGACTCAAAAATTGATTCTAGAGTGCCTCCAGAAGAACAAACTTATGAAAATAGAAATGAAATAGAATAGAATAGAAATAGAATACAAAATAGAAATGAAATCTAGGAAATAAGGGAAGATTTGCCTTCCCAGATGTGTAAATGTATTATAAAGCTTCAATAATCAAATTATGTAGCGATGATGTCCAGATAAACAGATCAATGAAAAAGATTGGAAAGGCCAGAAAAGACCCAGGATTATCATCTAAGGTAAAGTGTTGTTTCACACCAGTGTGCAGTATGGATTATTAAGAAAATAATGGCATGACAATAAGCTTCTGTTTTGGGGGAAAAAGTCAATACCAAATGTTGAAACCATAAAGCCAAGATTGAGAGATTAAATGAAATAAAAGTCAAAATTGTCTATATTCTGTATTCTCTATAAATGAAGCCAAATTGACTAAAAGATTGTCAAAGCTCTTTATTATATGTGAAGGGCTTCTTTTAAAAGTCCACAAAAAAGGTCGGGAGTGGTGGCTCATGCCTGTAATCCCAGCACTTTACGAGACTTTGGTGGATGGATTGCTTGAGCCCAGGAGTCTGAGACCAGCCTGGGCAACATGGCAAAACCCCGTCTCTACCAGAAAAAAAAAAGAAAGATAAAAGTTAGTTGGGCATGGTGGCACACGTCCGTAGTCCCAACTACTCAGGGGGCTGACAGGCAGAGGTTGCAATGAGCTGTAGTTGCACACTCCAGTGTGCACGCCAGCCTGGGTGACAGAGCGAGACCCTGTCTCAGAAAAAAAAAAAAAAAAAAAATCCAGAAAGGATAAACATATTATGAGAGAAATTGGTAAAGGGCAAATTGGGCAATTTGAAAAACAGAAATACAAATAAATGGTCATTAAACATGAAGAAGTAGTAAACTTCACTACTAAGCAAAGAAATGCAAATTAAATACTGACATATTGGTTTTTAAACATCTATCAGACTGTCAAAGATCAAAGAGAACGATGATATCCAGGGGTGGTTTGGGTGTGGATTTAAATTGCTATTAATTTTCTAGAGAGAAATTTGGCAGTAGCAGAGAAATGTCTTTTAAAAATCCCCTTTGATCTAGGACTTCTTCTAAAGGAAAAATATGAATAAGAACTTTCACAAGATTGTTGCGTATAACTGCAAAAAAAAAAAAAAAAGAAAAAAAGATAAATTATGTATTTTCACACAGTGAAAAACCATGGAGTTATTAAAAATTCAGATGCTGATGCACATTTATAGTATGGAAAGGCATTTATTCTATGCTTGTTAATTATAAAAGCAAGCTACAAAATAGTATACTGTGTGTACAATAAGCTTCTGTTTTTTGGGGAAAAGCTCAACACCAAATGTTGAAACCACAAAACCAAGATTGAGAGATTAAATGAAATAAAAGGAAAAAGTTTCTATATTCTGTAATCTCTATACAGAATATGGAGTGTACTATATATACTTATCATTTCCTTTTGGGGTGTATGTGTACTTACAAATATATATATTTATAAATTATAGATATAAATATATTTAGGTTTATGTACACATGTATATTTACATAAGAATAAGCTGGGAAAGCGACATATTAAAATACTAAGTAGATTCTGGTTGATTTAAATTTTTTCACTTCCATTTATCTGAATTTCTAATTTCGTTCTGTATTTCTATTTACTTGTATAATAAAAAACATTAAAAAGAGCAAGGGGCCGGGTGCAGTAGCTCATGCCTGCCTGTAATCCCAGCACTTTGGGAGGTTGAGACAGGCAAATCGCCTGAGATCAGGAGTTCGAGACCAGCCTGACCAACATGGTGAAACCCAGTGTTGATGAAAGAATCAAACTCTGTAAAATATTTTAAGAGATTTATTCTGAGCCACATGTGACTGACCATGGCCTCAGGAGGTCCTGAGAACATGTGCCCAAAGTGGTTGGGGTACAGCTTGGTTTTATATATTTTAGAAAGGCATGAGGCATCAATCAAATACATTTAAGAAATACATTGGTTTGGTTCAGAAAGGCGGGACAACTCAAACGGGGGTTGGGGAGTGGGTAGGGGGCTTCCAGGCTATAGGTAAATTTAAACATTTTCCGATTGACAATCAGTTGAATTTATCCGAAGACCTGGGATCAACAGAAAGGAAATGCTCAGGCTAAGGTAAAGGACTGTGGAGACCAAGTTTTATTGTGCAGAGGAAGCTCTTAGACAGCAGACTTCAGAGAGAGCAGGTTGTAAAATGTTTCTTATTGGACCTAAAAGTGTGTTTGGCTCTTTGTTGATTATTTCCTGGATCTGGAAAGGAAGGAAGGAAAACAAGGGAAAAGGGGATTCTCTATAGAATGTGAATTTTTCCCACAAGAGACTTTGCAGGGCAGTTTCAAGGTACGGCAAGGAAATATATTTTGGGGTTAAATATTTCAGTTTTCTTCCTTGTTATGCCACAGTCAGATTGGAAAGTAAGTCACGATATACAGGGTGAAATAAAACCCATTAGATGAGAATTTATGGTTTTAGGGCATGACTCCCCCGACCTCTTAGATAGGAATTTGGGCAAGATAAAAAAAAAATCAGAGCTTGTCCTCACCTGTCTTTACTAAAAATACAAAAAATAATTAGCCAGGCATGGTGGTGCTGTACATGTAGTCCCAGCTACTCTGGAGACTGAGGCAGGAAAATCCCTTGAACCTGGGAGGTGGAGGCTGCAGAGCCGAGATTGCGCCACTGCACTCCAGCCTGGGCGACAGAGCAAAGCTCCGTCTCAAAAAAAAAAAAAAAAAAAGAGCAAAGACATTTTGGCATTAGAGAAATCTTAGCCCTGTCACCTGTTGGCTTCAGACATTTGGCAAATGGATTAATCTCTGTAAGCCTCAGTTTCCATCTCTTTAGTGAGAGAGGGAGACCTACCTCACTTGGTTATACCAAAGGTCACATACACTCGGTTAATAGTAGTTTTATAGCTAGAGACGAACATGTAAAGCAGTTTTTGTTTCACTTCAGCTTTTGTAGATTCTCTTAGATCGACTCTACATTTATTATTATTTTTTCTCCCTGGGGGTTTAGAGGTGGAGGCTTCAAAGAAACAAGCAGAACTTGATAGAAAGGCAATGGACGAGCTTCTGAGAGAAAGGGACATACTAAATAAGGTGAGTGTGTTACAGTCACACTGGTAAATAAATGTCTTTCTTCAGCACTGTAATATCTGGCTATAACCAGTTGGATGGGAAAAGAAAACTCCAAGGCAAACAGAAGTGGATTAGAATAAATAATAGTGCTTAATTTTCCTCTAAGCCGCTGCCTACAGTCTACCATTCACTGGCTATGAATTGCAATTGCATTATCACCTGAGAACACAAAAAGACTTTGGGGAATTAGCATATAAGCCAGGAGGAGATTTTAGAGTGTTTTGTGGATTCTTGTTTTCATTGCTGGTGTGCTACTTGGCATCCTAAGCAGTTAATCAACATTTGTGAATTTAATATCTATAATCGACAACTTTTGCTAATCCAAACATTACAAGTGAATGCTAACTGAATTTTAACTCTGAGGTGTTAGGTGTAGGAATGGCAGGTCTAAGCTTTCCTCCATCTTTTCAGGGTTGTTGTAAGTTTTGGTTTTGTTTTCTGTCCTTATCTTGTCAGACCTTCCAGCTCAGTGTGGTCCAAAGCTAAGGGAGGGGTTATGGGAGCTTGAAGGCAGAGATCTGAAGATTCTCCATTAAATGTAGGACCCCTCCTTTTTCCTATCCCACTTCCTGAAGATTTTTTCCATTGACAGTCACTTTTAGGAGTTTAACTACAGGGATTTAGGGTAAATTTTCCTGCTCAAGGATTTCTTCCAGGGAGGAAGCAACCACAGGCCAGGTGTGGATGGTGGGAGGGTTGTGGGGGATGGTGGCAGGGTGCTTCTATAATAGCCGTGTGGCTTTCGACCAAGACAGTTTCATCTCATCAAAGCAGAAACGGTCTGTATTTGTTCATTCTGACTTTCATTATTTCTTTGGGTTTCCCAGAATCAAACAAATGTTAACAAAATACACTATACTTTAGCCTAAAATAGACTATTCAGGGAATCTCAGGAATTGGTAGATTAGATCTTCACATGCTAATCACTTTTAAAGAAAATCACTGAAGTGGTTTTTTTCTTGGACAGTCTTGGAAATTGCTTTTTATTTTATACGTTTGTACATATAAACAATAATGTTGGATTTAGATTTTTAAATTTATATTCAACACGCATTTAATCCATTTGTATTTTATATGTACTGATAAACAACCAATATGTTTTCTGCCATGATAAGACATGTAGCACAATAGTAATTTTACATTTATTTGTTAATTTGATTAATGTCCATTCTTCCTTTGGGGCAGGGTATACTTTTGTATTTTTTATTTCCTGGCCTTTGTATTCTTAGTGCCTAGCACAGCACCCGACTCTGCAGGTATGCAATGAACTTTAATTGATAATACATTCTTTCCCCATTGACTCAGTTGAAATGCCACCTTCATCCAAAGAATGAGTGACATGGTTTTGACAGGTAGCAACATGAATATATTTTGATTCTTTTAGTGTCATGTGGAAATGGCTTTATCTTTTATAGAACAAATGTTTAACCCAATACCTGAAAAAAAAGTTGATCTTTTCTGTTTTCTACATTGTCACCCAATCAACATTTAATAGGCATTTTACCTGATTATTGTCCAGCAGTTTTCAGATCTATCTGTTGTTCTATGTTGGTTAGAGATTTGAGAAAGAACTCTAAAGTGCCTCATGGAACTCACGGATACAGCTGGGCCTCAGGAACCCATTGGAAACTGGCCTGGCATTCTTGGGACGAAAGCATCTCTCTCTGCCAGTTGACTTCCTGAGTTTTTGCTCCATTCTTCTTTCAATGAAGACTGTCACTGTCTCTCTCTGTTTTCCAGTCCATATGACAAAAAATGACTGTCACCAATATCTCCCAAGGTTACATCTTCTACTGAGTTGCACAAATCTAAAGGCCCTATTTCAGAAGTCCTGGGGAAGGGTCATTTGATCCATTCAGTTGCGGTTAAAGAGGTGAATCCTTTTGCATGAGCGTGGCTGCCAGATTGCACTACTACTCATTCTGTGTTTCAGGGAAACTTGGGCAGCCAACCCAAGATATTTCCTTTTCAGCATCAGAAATCTCCAGTGCAACTTAAAATAAGAAAAATGTAGATGCCTGGGTCCTATCCCAGACCAACTGAATCAGAAACTCTGGAGTTGGAACATGAACATCTGCATTTTTTTAAAAAACTGGGTTAATTGTTTTTGTTGTGGTTAAATACGCACAATACAAAATTTACCATTAGTGACATTTAGTACATTCACAGTGTTGGGCAACTGTCATCACAATCTAGTTCCACAATCTTGTCCCCCCAGAAGAAGAAACCCTGTACCTGTTCAGCAGCCAGTGTCTATCCCCCCTCCTCCCACCCCTGGCAACTACTAATCTGCTTTCAGTTTTTATGGATTTGACTGTCCTGGATATTTATACGAACGGAATCGTACACTAGTGAACTTTAGTGTCTGGCATGTTTCATTCAGAACAGTGTTTTCAAAGTTCATCCACTGTTGTAGCATGCATCTGTACTTCATTCCTTTTTATGGCTGAATGCTATTCCACTGTGTGGATATGCTGTATTTTGCTTACCTGTTTATCAGTTGATGAACATTTGGATTGTGTCTATCTTTTGGCTCTTGCGAATTATTTTACTGTGAATACTCATGTACAAGTTTTTGCTTTCATTTGTTTTGAGTATATATTCAGGAGTGAAATTGTTGGGTCACACGTTAATTCTAGGTATCTGCATTTTTATTAAGCTGCTTTTTATCTTCCTTTGTAATCAAAGCTCAAGTTATATGATTAGGTTCAGTTCTAACCTCACAAGAGAAAGGCAAGAGCTAGATTGGAGGTTAAAGGCATGGACTCTGGGGTTAGCCAGCCATGGATTCAAATCTTTGCTCTGCCACTTCCCCATTGTATGAACTTGTAGGCAAGTAGCTTAACTCTTCAGTCTCAGTTTCCTACCTCTAAAATGGGGCAATATGGGGCCTATTTCTTGGGGATGTTGTGGTTGCTTAGTGTATTTATATGTGTGTTTAAAGTCCCTTGTGCAAAATTAGCATAATAAACTCTTAATAAGCTGTAAGGAACATGATCATTTTTATTCATCCAAAAGACAAGCTATCTAATTATGTTAGATATGAGGCAGAGGGTAAACTTAACCCCAAATCCTCAAACATTATGAGTAATATGACTGCTTTGTGCCCTTATTTTTAGAACATGCTTAAGGCAGTCAATGCGACCCAGAAGCAGACTGACTTGGTAAAGCTCCATGAACAAGCCAAGAGGAACCTGGAGGAAGAAATCCAGAACTACAAGGATGAGGCTCAGAAGCAGAGAAAGATCATCTTTCATCTGGAAAAGGAGCGTGACCGGTACATCAACCAAGCCAGTGACCTTACGCAAAAGGTAAGCCGCTCAGTGATGTTGTGGGTGGAGCAAAGGCACATTCCTTCCTCTGCATTTCTGATGGTCACAAACTGTTGCAAAGAGAATTTATTCAGATTTCTGCTTTTAATTTGTGTGAAGATTTGGTAAGAATGATGTGGACAAAATATAAGCTGTTTCTGAGCTGATCCTGGGCCACATTGTGAAAAGGACAATGTTTATGCTTGTTGCTCTCTCATTTCTACTTTCCAGGGCCCTCTTCCAACTTCTGGGTTCTCTCTCTTCTCTGTTGCCCTGCTGTGCAGCATCCCTGGGCTGGTACCAGGGCTGCCAGCATCATCATCTCTCAACTCTTCAGTCTCCACACCCACCCACCATCTGGCACTGATTTTGTCTCCTCAGAGAAAGGACCCCAACTTGACGTTAGGAGAAAAGCATCTAATTAAATGACCACAAGTTAAGATGTGAGTGACTACTGCATCTGCTAGGTGTGTCACAATTTCAAAGAGCATTTTTTTATTCTCAAACGATTGTGAACTCCTGCAATCCCAGCGCTTTGGAAGCTGAGGCAGGATGATTGCTTGAGGCCGGGAGGTCACAAGTAGCCTAGGCAACATGTCAAGACCCTATTTCTACCAAAATATAATAAAATAAACTAAAAAGGAAAAAAAAAAAAAACTATTGTGAGCTGGGCGTGATGGCTCACATCGGTAATCCCAGCACTCTGGGAGGCCAAGGGGATGGATAGCTTGAGGCCAGGAGTTTGAGACTGGCCTGGACAGCACGGTGAAACCCTGTCTCTACAAAAAATACAAAAATTAGTCGGGCATGGTAGTGTGCTCCTATGGTCCCAACTACTTGGAGAGCTGAGTTGGGAGGAACACTTGAACCTGGGAGGTGGAGGCTACAGTGAGCTGTGGTTGTAGCACTGCACTCCAGCCTGGGTGACAGAGTGAGACCCTGTCTCAAAACAAGCAAACAAACAAACAAACAAACAACCACTGGAGGAAATCCACACATTGGGGAGCTGAGTTCTAGATCTCTGCTTCTTATAAACTGCTTAGGAGAGAGAAGGCTCAAGGGTATATGTCTCCAAGAATGGCTTCGGAGATTTGGATTTCATTTTAGCCAGCTGTCTTAGTGCATCGCCTGTATGAAGCATGAGTAGTTACAATAGTACTCTCTTTAATGCATTCATAGATGGCATAGAGCAGTGGTCTATGGGGTGGGAGGCTGGGAAATGGAGAAAAGTTTTAGTTATGAGGCTGATTAGAAAGTTTGGAAGAAAAGGCTCATTTAATCACCTTTTCTCCCCCTAGCAAGATGTGATCTGTTATGCAAGGTAAGCCCTCTCTTTTTCTCCTCAATGAAATTCAGGTTACGTTCTGCAGTGCTTACTAATGCTCTTGCATGCTTAAATTTTTTGTTTTTTTGGAGTGAAATGTCAAAAAAGGTGATAAAGGGACAGCCAATATTTGTATTACAGAAATAAAGAAAGTGGGAAACAAGCTTTACTAATAGGAAATCAGCTTCTTTCCACTTAGACTCAATCTGCCATGCAGATGATTTGGGAAGGGCTGCTGGAGAAGCACAGTGCCTTGGCTTTGTCTAGCTCTGCAGGACAGTGATCCCCAATGGATTCTCACACCCCTAATTGGGAGTCATTGGAGTAGAGCATATTTCTTTTCTGACTTAACCATGTAAGAAGTTCCACTGATTGATTTACTGACTCTGAGGACTTGTCAGTTTAGGCCCTGGTATTCTCGAGCTTGGACTCGCACATTAGCTTCTGTATTCACCAGTTTATTGCACAAATAACCTTCAAACATTAGTGGTTCACAGCAATAAAGATCTATGTTTTGCTCACATAACTGGCCTTTGCAGGTCAGCTGCATCCCTCCTTTTTGTCCTCTTCTTTCCAGGCTGACTCTGTCAGGATGCCCTGGCCTCTGGACAAAGGGAAAGGGTGGAAACAGTGGACCCTCAGAGCACTTCCGAGCCTCTGCTGACAAGGGAAGGGCACAGATCCTACCCACTCATATTCCACTGGCCAACCAAGTCACAGGGCTGTGCCAGGCATCCTGGGCCGGAGTGTGGTCCTCCTTAGGGAGAGGCCCTGCAGGGTGAGGTAGCAAATGTATTTGAACATATAATGTCATCTGTTGCAGCTTCCAGTTTCTTCTTCCTGATAAGCAATTTCTCTCCATTCCCAGGTGCCATCACACCGCCATCAGAGCTAACTCTTAAAAATTCCAGTGTGATTTTATTATTACTCTGGATATAAACCTCTATCACCTCTCCCTGGGGCAGGGCTTCCTAACATTTTTCACATCACAGCATATGTAAAAAATTACATGTTGATACGGTTTAGCTCTGTGTCTCCACCCAAATCTCATCTTGAATTGTAATCCCCATGTGTCGAGGGAGGGAGGTAATTGGATCATGGAGTTTTCCCCAAGCTGTGCTCATGATGGTGAGTGAGTTCTCATGTGAACTGTTGGTTTTATAAGTGTTTAGAAGTTCCTCCTTCATTCTTCCTTTTCCTGGTGACTTGTGAAGAAGATGCCTGCTTCCCCTTCCACCATGATCGTAAGTTTCCTGAGGCTTCCCCAGCCAGCGGAACTGGGAGTCAGTTAAACCTCTTTTCTTTATGTTTACCCAGTCACAGGGAAGTTCTTTGTAGCAGTTTGAAAATGGACTAATACACATGTCAGTGGCACATGGGAATAAGGAGATGAGGCTATTTGGGGCTGAAGGAACCAATCCAGGGATGCCAGCTGCCCAGGTCCCACCTGGCCAGCCTGTGGGTAGAGTAAAATCAGTGTTTTAGCACACATCTGAAACCCATGCAAGGCACAGCAGTTGGGATACTGGATACTCTGCATTAATGGAATAGAGTCCAAGCTCTTTGTTCTCTGTGGAAAGTTGTGTCCTTTCTCTGCATGGCACATTCCTATTCACCCTTCAAGACCTAACTCAAAAGCTCAGGTCAAGCTTCCTCTGATTCCTTATGGGCAGAGCTTGTCACTTTGTACTTTATGGATTTGTTAATGTCTCTGGAAGGATGATTATCAATCTATAGTGTAATTATTTGTTTGCATATTTGTTTTATCCACTTTATAGTGAGCTTTTGGGGGCAAGGACTTTATTTCATTCATTTCTTTATTTCTAGCATCCTGGCACATGAGAGACACCAAAAAAGTATTTGTTAAACAAATGGATAGACGATAAGCGGTAAAAAGAATGCTACCACTGATTTTAATATAGGATTGTATATTTTTCTTGGCTTCCTCGTAAAAGAGAGATTCAGATATCAAGTTTTGTTGTTAACTGTTTTTCACAAGTTCTGATATATAACCGCACATAATGTCTTACCTAAATAATTTGAACACAAGTTCTTAAAATATTACTTATCACCTACAATTTTTCTGTGTCTTGCTTAACCCCTGACAGCATATATCAGTTGCTACGCAACTTGTGCATCTCTGGACTTCTTAAGAATATGTATGTCTCTTTGTCCCCTTCTCATATTTCTTTCTTTCTTTACTGTCCAACACACACACACACACACACACACACACACACACCCTCATTCTCACAAACAAAAAGCTCCCTTATGTGCATTCTGTTTGTAGGGTATTGAGAAATAATATCAAAGGCTGGGGAAGATGTCATGAAACTGACATTTTCATCTACTTCTAAAGTGAGTATACATTGTTCCAAGTTTATCTATCTTTTATCCAGATAAAATTTCCTTTTTAAGAAAAACTGAATCTAATGAAAAATAAGAAATGGAGAGATTTATATGAAAGAATATTTTTTCAAAACATAATTTATAATAATGAGAACTAGGAATCAGCCCCCAAAAAGGTTAAATAAATCATGCTACATTTATTTGACATAGTATTATGTGGCTGTTAAAATCATGTGCTTGCAAATTATTTTTAAAGATGGGAACATGTTTCTAATATGAATCTGAGAAAGATAACGTACAATTATTTGTAGAGTTTGTCTCCAGTTTTTTCTGTGTGCATACAAAAAGGATTGGAGACATACGTAATTTGGCCCCTCCAATATCACTAAAGAATATTAGAAATTGGGAGGTGGACTGGGGCTTGGCATGTCACTGTGTTTCCAGCTGTAGATTTGAAAGTGGATCTGCCACCACCCTAGGGTACTAAGAGTTGGGGAAAGGTAAACCCCTTCACCTTAGTGGCATTGTTCTTAGGTTGCGGTAAATCCTGTCTTGCTCAAGAATGAATAAAGAAAAAAGCAGCCTAATGGAGGCTTGGGAAAACATGCCTGAGAACGAGAGAAAGAGAATGGCTTCTAGGAGCCCCAGGGTAAAGGTCTGGCTCTGAAAATTCTTCTGTGGCAAGATCTTTAGGTTGAACCCTTTGAAATCGTCTTTTTTTTTTTTTTTTTTTGGTAAATAAGAAACAATTGACTATCAGCGATTTCATAAGGTTCTTAACCTAATAGAAAAAAATGCAAAGAAAAGGTTTGGCTTCCTTCAAAGAGTGTAAATATGTAAAATCTGGTGCCAAGTCTCCACTTGTGGGAGGAACAGTCTTTGTTTAGCAAAATACCTTGATACTTGCCTTGGTTTGAAAGGTGAGGCTCCGTGAACCAGAGTGAAACACAGTCATGTGAGAAAAGTAACAGGAAGTGGGAAAGGAGGAGTGGGTGGTGAGCAGGAAATGGGGAGAAGATGGGGAAGAATGGGAGAGGAGGACACACAACATCAGCATCAAGGCAGTAGGCTGGGCGCTGCTGGAAGTGAGGAGTTCCCAGAGATAGGAATGATGGAGGAATTGCAGAAAACAGTGATGTCCAATATTTGATTTTAAGTTCCTCAAACCTCTGGTGACAAATCTACTACATCAATCCTACAGTTGTGATTGCACTTTGGGGGCACAGGCATGGGGTGGTGAGGATGTGAAGTGACACATCCCAGAAAAAGGACAGTATGTGCAAGAGACAAGATGCGCCCGAGAATCTAGAAAGCTATGGCAACAGCA